CAGACGGGCGAAAAAATTTGTGTAAAAACCCGTGTAATGTCATTATGTAGCAAGAAAGTTATTGTTGCAATGTTTGTATTTGATGAACGGGCCGGGTCGTTTGAGAAGTCAGTTGCCCGTGTTATTCTTTTGATCTTATTTGATCTTAGTTACTGTCTTCAGTTTTGAACTCTCTACATGACTCCAGTGTAATACTAAGAATAACGTAATTTTTATCACGATCGTTGTTGCATGCTCTGTAGACAATTGGTTAGAACTAGAAGAAATGTGTGGAAATGCGATTGTGGCGTGATAGAGAGTAACATAATCAGACACCACTTGTTTGAAGTCAAGGCGTCATAGACCGACTTATCTAACTAGGTTTCTTTGTTTTATTAACTGTAGTTCTGCTTTTCACATTTTCTACCACAAATGTATTAGTACTATTCATTGCAGATGCACTAGATCCATAGCATTAGTTGCACGTTACAGTACACGTTACAGTACACGTTGCAGTAGCTATAAATGCATTTACATGTATGATGTTTGTTTTTCTAGTGTTCTCTAAGCTACGTGTAGCTAACTGTTTTGAAAATAAATTCAGACACGTAATATGATCGATGTTGTCTATATTGTTTACTCTTTAGGTGACTGTTGTCTGATATCCCCTATGCAAATCAGTACATTTAACATGGTGCTTTCCTTTGTGTCGTGATCAAGTAAAACCCACCGGACCGTTTTTATCCACCCACCCAGTTCCTATATAAACGCGTCCCTGACTGCTCTGTTTCTGTCAGTACTGACTCTGCAGCCGTGAGGATCTGTCCCGTCGTGAAAACATCGTGCAGTACTTTGGAGCGTCAGTGCATCTTAGTGAGTGTCGAATTTTCCTGTATTTTCTTTATCTGTAACTTCCATGCGGCATCCATTTGTAGATTACTTTATAAATCGGCGGGCGAAGAACTTACTTTTCATTCTTGGCTATTCATGCTAATCTGCCTTTTTGAATCATTATCATCTCCGATGAAACCAGGTTTAACGCCACACAAACCCAACTATAGATTTCTATAAACCCAAAACCGATACATGTTCAGGTGCATTTGTCAGTATGCTAGTTATACACCATATAAATTTCGTGAACCTCTGATATATTTATTTAAATGAAATATTGATTTTTTTATTCCTTGTCAGGATCAGTACTTTAACATGGCCGCAAGAGCTGCATCTGATTTGAATAAAGAGGAGGGAGAGAGTGGACGTGGGGAGCAAGATTCTCCGCGTACCCACAAGTGTAGCGAGTGCGGCAAGGAGTTTCGTTACCTGAGTCATCTGAAGAGACATATGCGGACTCACACGGGTGAGAAACCCTACCGGTGTGAGGAGTGCGGCAAGCAGTTCAGTACACTGAGTAATATGAAGACACACATGCGAAAATCACAATGGGGAGAAAACCGTATAGATGTGAAGAGTGTGGCAGACAGTTCAGTAGGCCGGATAGTCTGAAAAAACACATGCGGACTCATACAGGCGAGAAACCCTATCGGTGTGAGGAGTGCGGCAAGGAGTTCAGCCAGTTAGGTCATCTAAACGAGCATACGAAAACTCACACTGGTGCGAAACCGTACAGATGTGAAAAGTGCGGCAAGCAGTTTAGTCAGCTGGGAAATCTACAGACACACATGCGGACTCACACAGGTGAGAAACCGTACAAGTGTGAGGAATGTGGAAGTCAGTTCAGTGAGTTGGGAAGTCTGAAGAGTCACATGCGGACTCACACTGGTGAGAAACCCTACAGGTGTGAGGCGTGTAGCAAGCAGTTAGTCATTTGTCAAATCTTAAGAGACACATCCGGACTCACACTGGTGAGAAATTCTACAGGTGTGATGTGTGCAGCGGACAGTTCAGTGACCTGAGTAATCTGAAGAGTCACATGCGGACTCACACGGGTGAAAAACCGTACAGATGTGAAGAGTGTGGCAGTGAGCTGGATAGTCTGAAGAAACATATTAGAAGTCACACTGGCAACAAACCCTACATTTGCAGGAGTGCAGCAGACAGTTTACAGCACGGAGAAGTTTAAACAGACACATGCAGACTCACAGAGCCGCAGAAACCGTACATGTGTTAAAAAAGGCAACAAAAGCTTTCGTAAGAGTGCCAACTGAAAACACTCCGGCGAAAGACTGTCAGTAACGGTTACTGAGTGGCGATGCTTAAATATCCTGACTGTTTGATCTACATGTAGTAGTGTACTCTCTACATGACTCTACTGTGGAGTTATAGCGCAATAGAGGTGATTTTATATAACGATTGATGGATGCTTCGTAGCCTGTTGATAGAGCTAGAAGTCATGTGCAAAATGTAATGCTGTAGTATTTAGACAATAGTTACATGACAGGACACCGTTCATTTAACGTCAATGTGTCACTGTCCGTCTGTTATAGAACTTAGTCGACTACATGTAGTTTTATTTGTTTTAGTATCTGTAAATACACTAGATCTTTAGCGTTTGGTTACAGTTGGAGCATGTTATTTATCAATGCATGAAAATGTTGTTTTACTACAATTCTGTAAGGTAGTGGTAGCTTAGAGTGTAGCGATTTGTCAACTTTTTGCATCTCAGTTTGGACAATAAAGCGCGTTATGTGCCTTATTTATTTGTCATTATCGCTTTCATTTTTCCATGCTCTACCCTTTTCATAAGGACGTTGATTTTTCATTTGCAAATCAGCACACGTAACATGGTGCGTTCACCATATTGACCAAGTTGTCCTCTTTTCCTAATAAATAAGGGTGTTGCCTTCTATTCGAGTCATTTTAGATTTTTGATTTGCTGGGACTACAGAGGGTGAAAATTAGTTTTTTTTGTAAACACAATAGATTTAGATATACTAGTATGTAGATTTGAATACGCAAGCTTACAACCTATAAAACATTCTGAAATGGATGTTGTTCAGTCTTCAAGCATTTATCGACTCTGAAATTTGATTCTTGGTCAGACGCGCCAGACAGAATCGCTCCAAAGTCGTTGTTCAACCACCTGACGTATTTTGTGCAAAATAGGTTAGAGCTACAAGGCATTGATCGTATTCATGGTTGGTCGTCTTTATTGAGGAATTTACTAACAGCTTTAAAGCTAGGTGTTCGATACATTTTCAAACTGCTATAATGGTCATTTATGGGCCTTTCGTTGAATACATGTAAGATCTAACAGTCTACCGACACGCAACAGTCCCTATTGCATGCAGACAATTGTTCCTTTGATCTCAGTTTGAACAATAAGATAAAACATGTAATATGCATGTTGTTGTCTTTATCGTTATTGTCCAACTGATTGTATCTTTATCTTAATGATGTTGTCTTAATTTCCCTTATGCAAAACATCGTGCAGTTCTTTGGAGCGTCTGTGCATCTTGGTAAGTGCTGTCTTTATTTGTCGTGTCGTAATTATGGGTTCGTGGTGTGGTGAAACCATATTGCTTTTTCTGATGTTTCTTCTTCTTCTTCTCCTCCTTCTCCTTCTCCTGCCATTTTTTAAATGGATTCAGCTTCTTCATTTTAGGGCCTAAGGTCCTGAAATTTGGTATGGAGGTACAGTGGGCAAATACCCCCTAGGCGTTTTTTTAAATTATTGTGATACAGGCTTTTAGAATGGTTTTATTTGAGTTTTTTGGCTGTGTTATAGCAAATGTATTACTGTGTTAGTTTGCCTTGTTTACCACGTTTGGGCATGATTCATCACAATGGAATGCAGGGCATCAACCAATAGGCATGCAGCTTTCCTCTATACTTCTTGCTGATTGGCTGTTGGGATTTAACTTGATTAACACCTGCACAGAAGCATTTCCATACTGACAGTATGTCTGTATTCAAGTGTTTTGGTAGGTATTTCAAGCTTTCCTGCTCCAGCATTGGAATGCCGGGCATGGACGTTTTTTTTTATTTTGAAAATCAACAGTTTGCATTATGCAATTAAAAATCCTAACCAATAAAGTAGGGAATAGCTATCCAACTGTTGTTTTAGCTGTATTTTACTTCATATTATAGTTATATCAATGTAAATCATTGTTTTCCCTTGTGTTTCTCATTCTTTCCCTGCCATGTGGTAAAATGTGGTGAACCCATCGCTGTATTTGCTCCAAAGCAAATATTGGCCTTTCTAGTTTGGTCTTGCTTTTCACACTTGCGCATGCTGAAATTGTCAAATGTTTCCTTTGACCATTAGAATACGAAATCATGTATTTGCGCATCTATGAAACCAGATCAGATTTTTGTGTCCTTATGCTGTTCTTCCGAAATCCTGCCATGTACCAGATCGGTTATGTGTAACGACATGTTTATATTAATTTGTCAATATAACCGATGTAGGTCCGCATGTATAAAAAAATTGGAAATTCCATTAAGGATATGACAGTTATGCTTTACGATGTTCCTGCAGGGTAACGAGTTTGACCAACATGGCGACCAGAGCTGAATTCCACCTGAAACAAGAGGAAGGAGAGAATGGACATGGAGATCAGGATTCTCCGCGTACCCACAAGTGTGGCGAGTGTGGCAAGGAGTTTGGTTACCTGAGTCACCTGAAGAGGCATATGCGGATTCACACAGGAGAGAAACCTTACCGATGTGAGGAATGTAACGAAAGATTTAGTCTCCTGAGTAATCTAAAGCGCCACGTGCGGAATCACAAGGGTGAGAAACCGTATCAATGTGAGGAATGCAATAGGGGGTTTGCACGCTGTATCGCCTGATGTCGCATATCAGGACCCACACTGGTGAAAAACCCTACACGTGTGAGGAGTGCAACAGGCAGTCCCGTAAGCTGGGTAATCTGAAGACTCACATGCGGATTCACACTGGTGAGAAACCGTACAGATGTGAGGAGTGCAGCAGGCAATTCAGTCAGCAGTATAGTCTGAATGTACACATGCGGACTCACACTGGTGAAAAACCGTACAGATGTGAAGAGTGTAACAGGCAGTTCAGTGATCTGAGTACTCTGAAGAGACACATAAGGACTCACACTGGTGAGAAACCTTACAAGTGTGAGGAGTGCAGCCGGTCGTTCAGTAAACTGTCAAATCTAAAGACACACATGCGGACTCACACTGGCGAGAAACCGTTCAGGTGTGAGGAGTGCAGCAGGCAGTTCACCACAAGCAGCAGTTTAAAGAGACACGTGCGAACTCACAGAGTGGAGAAACCGTAGATGTCTTAAAAGTGTAACAGAAACTTTCGCCAATTAAAGAACTCACACCGGCAAAGCCTGTCAATGCCATTACTGTTTGATCTCACTGTGTTATTATTTTGCCAATGTAATGGCCTATTTTCACTTTTCCTGTCAGTAGTGTACTCTCCACTGTAAAGTTAACAATACCAGTGATTTTATATCACGATCGATGCATGCTCCGTAGCCTGTTTATTAGAGTATAAAATAGTATTATATAATAAGTACTGTGTAAAATGCGACAGTGTAGTAGTTAGATAATAGTTAGATGGTAGGACATCGTTCGTTTAACGTCAAAGTGTCATATTGTCCGTCCGTTATAGAATTAGTCAACTAGGTTTAGTTTCGTGTTTTAGTATCTGTAAATATGTCTTTAGCATTTAGTTACAGTTGCAACATGTTAGTTATTAGTTCGTCGAAATGTAGTTTCTATACAAGTTATAATTGCGTCGCAATGTTGTTCGCTTTACTATTATTCTGTAAGCCACATTTAGTTGTACGGATTTTCCAACTTTGTATCTCAGTTTTAACGATAAAGCACGTTATGCGCCGTATCTATTGGTCACCATCGCTATTGTTATTCCAAGTTGTACCTTTTTCCTAAGGATGCAGTCTGATTTTCATTATCACCATCTTGACCAAGTTGTCCTCTTTTCGGCCTAATTAATAGGGATGATGACCCCTGTTCAGGTTTCATAGATTTTTGCTTCTACTACAGATGGTACATTTTCATACTACTATAATGACCATTTCTGGACTTTTTATGGAATAAGATTTAACAGTTTGCCGACACGCAACAGCCCCCATTGCAAGCAGACAATCGTCTCTTTGATCTCAGTTTCAACAAAAAAACACGTAATAATATGCATGTTGTTGTCTTTATTGTTATTGTCCAAGTGATTGTATCTTTATCTAATGATGTTGTTTGATTTTCCTTATGCAAATCGGCACATGAAGATATTTTCCTTTGTTTCGTAATCAAGTAAAACCTACTGGACCGGTTTTATCCACCCACCCATGGTCAGTCCCTATATAAACGCGTCCCCGACTGCTCTGTTTCTGTCAGTACTGACTCTGCAGCCGTGAGGATCTGTGCCGTCGTGAAAACATCGTGCAGTTCTTTGGAGCGTCCGTGCATCTTGGTAAGTGTCGAGTATGATTTGGTCTTCTTGGACATGATAAGTACTGATCAAGTTGCAGGATAAAGGATAACTCGTTGATGTCTAGTACATTTTTGTTATTCTAACAAGTCTTGGTAAAGTGCCCAACTGTTCTTTTGTCCATTATAAGCATACCAAACCATGCATTTCAAGTCAATTGTGTGTATGATTGTAACCATTTCTCATTTTGACTTACTATATCATGTTTCTACATTATTCCTGTAGGTTTGATCAACATGGCGACAGCTAAATTCTGTCTGAATCAAGATGAGAGAGGGCAGAGTTCTCCCCGTACCCACAAGTGCAGAGAGTGCGGCAAGGATTTCCGCTTCCCGAGTGATCTTAAGACGCACCTGCGGACTCACACATGAGAAAAACCGTACCGATGTGAAGAGTGTGGCAGACAGTTCAGTGTGCTGGGTCATCTGAAGACACACATCCGGATTCACACAGGAGAGAAACCGTACCGATGTAAAGAGTGTAGCAGGCAGTTTAGTGTGCTGGGTCATCTGAAGGAGCACGTGCGGACTCACACAGGTGAGAAACCGTACAGATGTGAGATATGTAACAAAAGCTTCAGTGGGCTGAGTCATCTGAAGAGACACATGCGGACTCACACAGGTGAGAAACCGTATCAATGTGAGGAATGTAGCAGGTGGTTTGGTACGCTGGGTGATCTGAAAAGGCATATCAGAACCCACACCGGTGAAAAACCCTACATGTGTGAGGAGTGCAGCAGGCAGTTCAGTGAGCTGCATAATCTAAGGTTACATTTGCTAACTCACACTGGTGAGAAACCGTACAAATGCAAGGAATGTAGCAGGCAGTTCAGAAGGCTGGGTCATCTGAAGGAACACATGAGAACGCATACGGGCGAGAAACCCTATATATGCGAAGAATGCAGCAATCCGTTCAGGTCACTGTCACATCTAAAGGAACATATGCGGACTCACACTGGTGAGAAACCGTACAGATGTGAGGAGTGCAGTAAGCAGTTTAGCAGGCTGGGTCATCTAAAGAGTCACATGAGGACTCACACTGGTGAGAAACCGTACAAGTGTGAGGAGTGCAGCAGGCAGTTTGCTCAGTTGTCTAATCTAAAGGCACACATGCGGATTCACACCGGTGAGAAACCGTACCCTTGCGAAAAATGCAACGAAAGATTTCGATATTCACGTGGTCTGACAACCCACATGAAAACTCACACCGATAAAAGCCTGCCGAAGTCTGTGTAAACACCACATCATGTGGTATCATATGTCCCAGCAGCAAGGTTTGAAGACACTATACCATCTGATTAGAAAGGTAACATTTGCAAAGCAAATGCATCATGTTAGCAACTCACACATGTGAGAAATCGTGCAGTTGGAAAAATGTAGAAAAATCTTTTGGCATTTAAAGATGTGGACTACCCACATACAACCTCACACCAGCGAAGACGTCCCAGTGTCCATGTGATGATTACTATCAATCGTGGGCCCTTGTCGTCTATCGCTAACATATCACTATATTGTGGTATCATTTTAGTCGTAAGAGACGTTTGTAGATATCTTTTAGCAACGTGACCTCTTATTTACTGTTTCTTTTAGTAGTGTACATGTCTCCATTGTAAAATTACGAATGCATGCTCCGTAGTACGTTGATTAGAACTAGAAGTCGTGAGTAAAATGCGACTGTGGACTGTTTAGACAATAGTGACAGAGTAGTTACACGGTAGTAGACCGTTCGTTTGGCATCAAGGCGTATGGTCCGTCTGTTATATCAATTAGGTAACTTGTTTTCTTTGATTTGCATTTTACTAATCACAGTATACTAGATCCTTAGAATCCAAAATTTAGAGTTAGTTAGCAGCATATCTGGTAGTTCTAGATGCACTAGAATGTTGGTAAATATTGTTTCTTTTGTTGTGTAAGATAAATAATGAAGCTGTTAACTTAAAGATTGGTTAACTTTCGGCATCTCAATTTCTCCAATAAATAAAAAAAAGGAAAGAGTTGTCTTCTTTATTGATATTTTTCTTGATGTTGTGTAAATTGCCCCTATGCAAATCAGCGCATGTAACATGAAACAATAAATTCAGACACGTAATACTAGTAATACGTAGTATGTTGTTGTTTTATTGATCACCAACTTTATTGTAAGTCTTCAACTCGGTCTCTTTTTACTACGAACGATGTTGTCTGACTCTTCTCTATGCAAATCAGCATTGTGCTTTCCTTTATTTCGTAATCAAGTAAAACCCACCGGACAGGTTTTATCCACCCACTCAGTCCCTATATAAACGCGTCCTTGACTGCTCTGTTTCTGTCAGTACTGACTCTGCAGCCGTGAGGATCTGTGCCGTCGTGAAAACATCGCGCAGTACTTTGGAACGTCTGTGCATCTTGGTAAGTGACGAATTTTCCAGCATATTTTTAATCTGTAACTTCCATGGAGCATCTATTTGTAGGTTTTCATTACTGTCATACTTTTTATTCTTGGCTATTCATGCTATTCTGCCTGCTTGAATCATTATCATCTCCGATGATCGAAACCAGGTTTAACGCCACACAAACCCAACTATAAATTTCTATAAACCGAAACCGATACATGCAACTGACATGTTTAGGTGCATTTTTCAGTACGCAAGTTATACACCATATATATTTCGTGACCATATATGCTTCGTAGCCTGTTGATTAGAGCTAGAAGTCGTGTGTAAAATGTAATACTGTAGTATTTAGACAATAGTTACATGACAGGACACTGGGTCACTGTCCGTCTGTTATAGAACTTAGTCAACTACATGTAGTATTCTTGTTTTAGTATCTGTAAATATACCAGATCTTTAGCGTTTGATTACAGTTGGAGCATGTTACTTATTAATGCATGGAAACGTTGTTTGTTTGTTTGTTTTACAGTAGTTCTGTAAGGTAGAGGTAGCTTAGAGTGTAGCGATTTGTCAACTTTTTGCACCCCAGTTTCAACAATAAAGCGCGTTATGTGCCTTATTTGTTTGTTATCGTCGCTGTCGTTTTCTATGCTTTACTCTTTTTCTACGGACGTTGTCTGATTTCCCCTATGCAAATCAGCGCGTGTAACATGGTGCGTTCACCATCTTTACCACGTTGTCCTCTTTTCCTAATTAATAAGGGTGTTGCCCGCTATTCGAGTCATTTTAGATATTTTGTTTGGACTATAGAGAGTGAAAAAATAGATTTCTTTTTACTCACAATGGATTTTATGTATACTTGTATTAATTTGAACACGTAAGCTTACAACCTATAATACATTTATTCTGAAATGGATGTTGTTCAGTCTTCAAGCATTTATCGACTCTGAAATTTAATTCTTGGTCAGACGCGCCAGACAAAATCTCTCCAAAGTCGTTGTTTAACCACCTGACATGTTTTGTATTGTGTTCAAAATAGGTTTGAGCTACAAGGCATTGATCGTATTCATGGCTGGTCGTCTTTATTGAAGAATTTATTAACAGCTTTAAAGCTAGGTGTTTGATACATTTTCAAACTCCTATAATGGCCATTTATGGACCTTTCGTTGAATAAGATCTAACAGTTTGCCTTCACGAAACAGCCCCCATTGTATGCAGACAATCGTACCTTTGATCTCAGTTTGATCTCAGTTTAAACAATAAGATAAAACAAATAATATGCATGTTGTTGTCTTTATCGTTATTGTCTAACTGATTGTATCTTTCTCTAATGATGCTGTCTGATTTCCCTTATGCAAATCGACACATGTAAGGAATAATTTCCTTAGTTTCCTAATCAAGTAAAACCCACCGGACCGGTTTTATCCACCCACCCAGTCCCTATATAAACGCGTCCCTGACTGCTCTGTTTCTGTCAGTACTGACTCTGCAGCCGTGAGGATCTGTGTCGTCGTGAAAACATCGGGCAGTACTTTGGAGCGTCTGTGCATAATTTGGTAAGTGATTTCATTTTCCTATATTTATTTATCTTAGACTACGGCCGTGTAATGCTTGATTCTTAGCATACCAATCTCTGTATTTGAAGACGTGTATGTGTCTGCATAGAACCAGACCCAGTAACTTTTTGTAAATCCGATGGCAGAAAATTGTCATTTGCGTCGTCCACATGTTGATTTACTTGTTACAATGTTCCCTGTGCTAGCCCTGCTCCTATTTTTTTCCTTCAAAAAATCTGTCATCATTCAAATCATTCACAACTGTTGTTTATGAACCATAACATTTACGCATTTGTCAGTGTGCATGCAGTATACGCGTGAACACTGACAATTCCATTCATTCTACATATTGAATTGTACGTTATTCCTGTAGGATCAGGAGTTTGACCGACATGGCGACCAGAGCTGAAACTCACCTGAAACAAGAGGAGGGAGAGAGTGGGCATGGAAAGCAGGATTATCCGCGTACCCACAAGTGTGACGAGTGCGGCAAGGAGTTTCGCTTCCAGTGTCATCTGAATAGACACCTGCGGACTCACACGGGTGAGAAACCTTACCGATGTGAGGAATGTAACAAAGACTTCAGTCTGCTGAGTAATCTGAAGAAACACATGCGGATTCACACCGGTGAGAAACCTTACCGATGTGAGGAATGTAACAAAGGCTTCAGTCTGCTGACTAATCTGAAGAGACACAAGCGGACTCACACAGGTGAGCAAACATACAGGTGTGAGGAATGTGGAAGGTGTTTTCTTGAGCTAGGTGATCTAAAGAGACACGTTCGAACTCACACTGGTGAGAAACCGTACAGGTGTAAAGAGTGCAGCAAGCAGTTCAACAGAATGGGTAATCTGAAGAGACACTTGCAGATTCATACAAGCGAGAAACCGTACAGATGTGAGGAATGTGGAAAGTGTTTTCGTGGACTAGGTGATCTAAAGAGGCACATTAAAACTCACACTGGTGAGAAACCGTACAGTTGTGAAGAGTGTAGCAAACAGTTCAGTGACCTGGGGAATCTAAAGAGACACATGCGGAGTCACACAGGTGAGAAA